AGCCCGGGAATCGAACCCAGAAACTCTGCGTGGTAGCCCAACATGGTAACTGTTCGGCCACCGAGGCAGTTGATACATATATAATTTGAGAGTTACATGTATTTGCGTATTCAAGCTCAAACTCAAACTCATAATCATCTCTATTTCCGAGGTGAGCAAATTCACTTGAAATGGTCATAGTGATTAAACTCTATTGCTCTTGTAAGAGCGTGAGCGGTTACATACGCCGACTTTTAGCAGCGAAGCAAACGCGATACAAGCGCGATGCAAGTGCCATGCAAACGCGTTACAAACGCGCTGCAAACACGTTACAAACGCGATGCAAGCGGGATGCAAAAGCGATGCAAACGCGATGCAAGCGCGATGCAAAAGCGATGCAAACGCGATACAAACGCGATGCAAATGCGATGCACGTTTTATAATAATTAACTAATTTCTTTGTTTAATGTATTTATTAATTTCACTTTTAATTTTACAATTAACAAAACAAAATAATGTGCATAAACCTATACAGATTTTTCATATATAATTATTCAACTTAGGCGACTGCACTGATGCAGTCGCGCGTTTGTATCAATGCAATCGCCTATAAATCGCAAGTGTAGCGATGCAATCGCGCGCAGATTCCCCTGAAAAGAATGGGCAAGAAACATTAGGAGCTGCTTCTTGTTCCAGGTGTGCTTCACTGTGGTGTTTGGCGTGGCTTACTGGGTTACCATATCGCACTGCTATTGCAATGGTGTTATAACTCAAAATTTGTGAAATTCAAGATTTTACTATTGCTGAACGTAAAATGTATACATTAATAAAACCGCATTTGGAATATTGTAAAAAACAATTAAAAGATGTGTTCTTAATTCAAAATGAGATAAACTTTTTGTGAGAAAACATTTCGTTACTCAAAAATATGAAATTATTTTTACGCTTTTATTTTTTAATATATTTGGCAAGTAGGAAATTGTTTAAATGTCAGTAGTAAGCTTTAGCCTATACATAAAATTTTAATAATATTTCACAGGAAGTGATTAATTCGTTTTTCATCGATTCTGAAAAAATACATTTTTTAAGTTAAGACACATTAAGGCGCACACACTCAACCCCGCACTAGGGAAGCCCTTTATCCCGGGTGCCATGGACACACAAAGACAACCACAAATTATACCCAAACTCACGAGAGAAATAAATGTAGGCCATATAAACATTTCTCCCGGCTCGGGAATCGAACCCGGGACCTCTGTGTGGCAGTCAAGCATAGTAACCTTTCAGTCACTGAAGCAGTTTCTATTGTATCAGTAGAGCAGTACTATTGTATTAATAGTACGCTATTATATTATATGCTATTATTATATTATTATACGCTATTATATTAATATGGTATTGGCAGAAATTCACGGTCTAAATTATTTATGCTGAGTCAGGGCCATTTCAGTACAAACTGTGGCAAATAGGTTCGTAACAGTAAAAAAATTTTGTCCTTTTTTGTTAAATATTTGTTTAGGTATATCAATGTATACTAATTTAAGTTCTATGTGCTTTTGTGTTATACCTTGTCAAATTATCGTAAATGTTTGTTTTTGCTACTATTTGTGCTGAATAAAGTTTTATCTATCTATCTGCGAACAAAACTAATAAAATCGATAGGAGAAAAATTAAATTATATAACTTAAATTAAATAATAACACGTAGATAAAAAACAACCAGCCTCATTTATTTCTCCACATCATTAACATATTACGTATCACTAATATAATATACTAGGTGCTTAAATATTCTGTAATAGGTACTTCAAGCAGATTTTCAAAGTAATTATCGCCATTAACTGATTTTCATTAGAAATTTACAATAAAATTTAAATTTTTTTGTTTTTTTTTTTTTATATTTTCTAAGTCATTTAATAGTATTATAGTATAATATTTTACTTTTGATTAATGTCTCTGATGTTTTAAACGATATTTCAAACTAGTTGTTCCAAATATACGTAGCTTAGATACAAATATACAATTTATTACGTACACAAATGAATATTTTTAAAGTGTATACTACATTTGTATATACTAAATAATTATTTCTTTCAAATATTTTATCTACCGAAAAAATCTAACTACGATTGTAACTAACAAGTTACATACTTATCATAATAGTATTTAATCGATAATCATATTCTTTTACAAACATCATTTAACTAATAAAATGATCAGATTGACAAAGTGTAATAAATGACATTTTTGTTCGTATAATAATTGTGTACAGGACATTTTATTACAAATCTTAATATACACACATCGCTCTGCGGTGCAAGGGACTCCTCTAACAAAAGTTTAGGCCTAGTATTAAATTGTATGGATAATACATAAATATAAACTTCACTTTTACACAATAACTAACATTAATAAAGCTACGTATAATTAGAAATTTCATTTCCTAATTTAAAATTATTCTACATAATTTAACTATATGATAAATAATTATACTCCATAAATTTTGTACAATATACAATATTATACTAATTCTATGTACATTGATTAAAATTATTTAGTCTGAAATCGGGCTCAAACGTTTCATCAGAGATCACCAACCAAAATTATACCCAACAACATCGAAATACATTTTAGTTTCGCTCAAATGATTTGTATTCATAATTTCTCTACGAATTCAATCAATTCGATTTGATCGAAAATTAATTTTAGGCCTTTGGATACTTGCTTGATTTTATTTACAATTCTGCAATTTATACTACTTTAGTTATTACTAATAGAGTAATCATTAAAACACTGACTAGTTATTATTGTACAGTAACTTATATATAAAAAATAATATATGTATATTCAAGATTATATAACATACGAACGATTAACCAGAAGAAAATAACTACATAAGTTGTTTTTTTTTTTTCACTTTGATGAGTGTTTCCGGCTAACGGCGTAAGGTATCTTTCTGACTCTGCGTTGCCATTTAATTTCTGTTTCTACCCACCCACTCGCACAAAGCGTTTTGCTCCCTCCTTCAGCATGTATATGGCAAATATACATAGTACCAGTATCTTTGTTTCCCGAGAACAACTGTTTATGCGATGCCTCATAATCAGTGGTCGGAATTGGGGGAGTTAATTTATCTAACCTAAACAATAATGTGGACATTGCCTTCTACAAATCCCGGAACTTCCCGGAACTGGTTATTGATGGCTATTATTTATTGAAACATGAGCGCATTGGCAATTAATTATTACTTCCTATGAAGTGTTGTTACGCTTGGGGAGTGTAGCCATAGTGTCCGATCACCCGTTTTCCGCATCCAGCCGCTACCTGCGACCTTGTTCAGATCGTCGGTCTATCTTGCAGGGCGATGTCCTACGTTATGTTTGCCGAGACGTGGTCTCGACTCGAGAACCCGTCTACTCCATCGCTCATCGGTTCTGCGACAGATGTGGGCAGCCCACTGTCACGTCAGCTTGCTACATTTCTGGACGATGTCCAAAACTTTAGTTTTATGCCTAACTAACACAATGTGATAACTTCGTACCGGACCCTAACGAGTTACCTAGCATAGACCTTTCCATAGCTCGCTGAGTGACGTGTAGTCTGTGGGCCAGTTTTACCGTCATATTCCACGTCTCGGCTCCATAAGTCATGACCGGTAGGACGCATTGGTTGTAATCCCTGGACTCCAGGCACTGTGGGAGTGGTGACGGGATGACATGACGCAGTTTCCCAAAAGCTGCCCAACCCAGTTGCGCTCTCCTAGCTATTTCACTCTCGAAGCTGTATCTGCCTCGTTGCAGGGTTTGCCCGAGGTAGACATAATCTCGGACAACTTCGAGCGTTAGGTAGTTAGCCATTTAATAAATAAACATGAGACAATCTATATTTTGGAATGTTTATAAAACAAACTAAGAACATTAATAAAAGAAGAAATTTCACACGTATTGATGACGAAATGGGTATGTCCATACTAAGAAAACTTTTATACTTTGGGTAAATTAACTCCCTCAGTTCCGATCACGCATAATGCAATGCATTGGTGTTGCTACTCCAGAGCGGTGACGACGTTGCGTTGTACTATATGTAAATTAGAACTACATGCCACATGCATTGAAACGGCGCACGGTTACGGAACGCATGCGCGTTGGACAAGGGACCAGGAAACGAAGTGAGAAGGGGAGCTGCTATGCGTAAATAAACAGCGTTATATTGAAACACCGCATTGGTTAATGAATAATTAGTCAATAAGCGACGACTCAAAGGGTGTTCAGTCATCGCAACGTTGCGATTTCAACGTACTAAGGTGTTTGTGGTGGCGTTCTGATTTATATTATTGTACAACGCAGCGTCACAACGCGACGCCAACGCGACGCCGACGCACTATGCGACCTCGCTCTTACTCCTGTTACACTCGGTGCGTTGAAATCATAGCTTTGCAACGACGCAATGCATTGGCAGCGCGCATGGGGGCATTGCTCTTTAGGCCATTCAAGGCAAAAGTGAATATATATTTTTTAGAAGATAGCATATCAACGTCGGTCACATCGTCGCTTAGCACCAGACGAGTTTGTTGCCAAGCTTATATGACTATTATACGTTACATATGTAACAGTCACACAAGTTGCATTGTGTGACTATTACATATTTAAAAAATATAGTTTAAACCCTTGGTGTAAAAAGTAACATGTGATCATATGTCAAAAGTGTTTTTATCACATGAAAATCATAAAAATAATACGAAGTGCATGAAATAAACTATGCGTATGTGAAATTTTATAAGTTATAAGTCATTATTTAAGCATAAAAAGTTATCGACTAATTTCATTTGTACAATATTTAAACCACTCCCCTGAAAAGTTCTCATTTTGCAAATATGGCCTTTATTACACCGAGCCGGGTGTTATAATATTTATTGCTCATACAAAAAAGATTCTTTGTTCATAGAATTCGTTTTTGCATGAATTTGCCAATCCCTTCTTAAAAGAAGTTCCTTTATTGCATATCTATATATAATACAACGAACGAAGTTCCTCATTTATTCTGTTAAACACATATACCAGAATAAATGAAGTAGGAACACTTAAAAAGCGTTCCTACTTCATTTATTCACATATATTGATCTATTACAAGCTTACAATAAATCGGCTTAAATTGTCAATGAGGCATTTACATATTAAATTTAATATACGATTTTCAAACTCATCACAAGAAGCAGATAAGAAAAAATTGTGCCGCAAAATTTCGTAATGATTTCAATAATTTAAAGAACAATGGCGAAATCATTGTAAAAAGAATTCTTTAGCGTCTTCGAATGTCATATTTACAAGATTGGATTAAATAAATACATTAGATTTTTCTAGTAATACCAAAGGTTTGGAAATAAAATCATATTTAAAAGGAACTCAAATAACTACTTAGAATGTAACCTACAATCTACAACTGTCAGTTTCTTAACGTAGAACGACGTCTGTTGAAGCGGCCAAATAAAGATTTTCAGTACCTACACACGTATAGGTCCACATTAAGTTCACGTAATATCAAATGTACTGATTCGATCGATCTGTCATAAAAGATCGACGACTTTATTACAAAAAATAAAGTAGATAATTCCTTCTCGAAATATGCCACGCGAGAAAGTTATAAAACTGACAAAAAAGTTCCCGATATCGGGGCTCGATAGCACGATTCACAAAAAAATTATTTGTGCCGAGTTACCAATATGTATTTACTCAATTTTTTTTTGTTAAGACATATAATGGTATGGTCAAAAAGCATGAAGCTATGTTCGCCGTTGTTCTTAATTATTTTCATAAACAATTAATTTTAAAGATACACGATTTGTTTGAACTGCTGTCGATTCTTGTTCATCGTTGTAGCGTCTAGAGGGTATATCTGAAACAATATATATAAAATATTAATACAGACTACTATGGTGGAAGTTCTCTATAATATTTAAAGAGAAAGATCTCCGTACAAAAATTATGTGCAAAGTTAAATATTTTATTCTTAAATAATTTGTTTTACACTTTTATTTTTTAGCTTTTATTTTCGGGATTTTAGACGATCGAGTAAAGTACAGCCTATCATTTACGAATTGGCACATTATTTAGACAATATCCTTAGGTGTGTCGTATATTTTTATAAAACCGTTATTTAATAGTAAATACCTAGAATAGAATAGAATAGAATAGAATAGAATCCTTTATTTCATATTATCAATGTCACAATATTACAATTAAAAATACAATGTCAAAGGATAATATGATCGACACTAACGCAAACAATAATAATGAATATAAAATAAAGTAGTATAACTACAGATTGTCTAAATACAACGAAGTCAAGTTAAACAAAATTACAGTCATTTCAAAAGAAACTCATCGACTCTGTAGAATTAATTAAGGCGTTTTAGTCGGGTATTAAGGCGTTTCCCCGAGCAAATGACCTTGAGCATTCGGGCCCCTCTCACCGCACTACACCTCTACAATCTTTCGTAAAACTTGACTCACGCAGCGTTTTGCTCAGATACGCGCCATACACGTTTTGTCGTTTGTAACACTTTTCAAATCTGTGGGTAGATGTTCAGGGACCTATTACCCGCGGATTTCTCGTTGCGAGTTCGGTATGGTGGGCAACGGATTTTAGTTTTTCCGCGTTTCGCAACGCTTAGACTCCGCTTGTACGTCGTTAACCCAAACCATTTGATCTAGCTTAACAGTTTTTCCATCTCCCCTCGTGTAACTCGCCTTAACGCTTTTCTCATTATAGTTTGGTGGGTCCTAGGAGGTTAAATAGGAAAGTTACAAAATATCATATTATTATAAGTAATTCGTAGTGTTTTATGACTTTTATGTGTGTAATTTTTGGACCTGTTCTGTTTTTATTTTTAATTTTGTTTCTTAATTTTTTTTCCACAAAATTTGGGGAGCATAATATTGGTAAATAATTACTTACGACTGTTTACAAAAATAACAGAAAATGACCAAAAAATAAAGTTGGCGTAGTATTCATTGGAGGTATCGATGTAATAAAATCACCTTTATAAAATGCAATACACTTATGATCGCATATGGTTTCATTATACCAATGATACAATTTATCGTTTACAATATCACAGATTAAAACATCCTGAAATAAATAAATTAATCACCACATGTTTTAGTGTTCAAAGTACTCAGCACACCTTTTGCGTAAAGATTTTTCACACGTCTATTTTAAACCTCATGATGTCAAATGTGGAACATTAGTGGGAATTATATTACAGAAGCGTATACATTGCCCTTTGAATTAATTGGGTATGTAGAGATAGAATTAAACAGCTTAATATAACAGATAGATTTTACATAATATGCTACCAGAGAATCTTAAAGTATTATGGTCATATTGCTCCCCGACAACCAGACGACCTTGGCAAACTGGTTGTGGTAGGTAAGATGGAGAGACAGAGACGTGGTCGATCGCCTAGCCCATGGATTGATCAAGTGAACGCCCTCACTGGTTTATATAATAACTGCCGTCAGAGAGGCCGAAGACAGAACCAGATGGAAGAAAATTGTCCATAAAGACCCGAAAACCTTTCGGAGGCACGACTTTCAGCAATGAAGATAACTACTAAGAAGAAATAGACGACTGTCAGGAATGGACACTTTATTTTATTTCCTGTGTTAATGTTTTGTCTAATTTATTTTTCATGAAAAATTTACTGTACTTTTTAACATAGAGTAGGTTGTAATGTAATGGACGGTATAAGAATGTTAATTTCTTTAAGACTCTCTTGAAGGCTAAGTTTGCAAATTGCCCTAACAGCACTTTTCCGCAGGACAAAGACTCTATTAATGTCAGCCGCAATCCGATGACTCTATTGTAGATACGATTTAGTCGTAATGCAATTCGTGTGATTACATTCTAAGAGGAAACAGCCATCTGTTATAAGAACGAAATTTAATTCCTTAATACAACGTCAATATTAAAAGTCGGTGTTAACTGAATTAAAAAAATGGGCCAAACTAAGATTGAAAGTAAATGAAGATGGCCTCTTAATTAAATTTTAATCAATTTAATTATATAAGATGGGGCGTTATGGTGGTTTGAAAATTCTCATTAAAAGGCCCAAGCTCATCAAAAGAACATACATATACGTAGATGATGATGGTATAATATAGAGTGCCTAAACGAAATCCCTTAGAGCGACGGGGGTAATATTAATAAGTTTTTGTACTCCTGCACTCTATTAATCTGTCCATTATTATTTCATAAACCATTTCTGAATCAAAATTCTTTCGTCTATGGTACTTGCTACTGAACTGAAAAATTTAATTATAGTTTACAATATAATGAGTATTATATAATTATAATGAATATTATAGTTCTGTGTTTCAAAGAAGTATAATAAGTTTCAAAAAAAGAACATAGTACTTAGAACTGCCTCCTGATTGACAAAATAGGTCTTGCAACCAGGCCTTATTTCCCTTTCCCTTCTTTTCTCTTTCTTTTTTTTAATTACGAGTAGTTAAAATATAAGCGGTACCTGGCCACTTCTACTCCATCTCTTTGGTTTTTTGTTTTGTAGCGTTTATTCGGCTTTTATTTGAGTTTGTTGCCATGGATCGCTAACATATTTTGTACATATTTTATTAAATCGCACTGTGAATACAATAGTGTATTAACTCAAAAAGTGTATTTTTTTCAGAATATATGAAAAACGAATTACATACTTCCGGTGAAAAATTATTAATATTTATGTATATGTTGAAATTTATTACAGACATCTAAACAATTTCCAGCTTGCCAAATATATTTAAAAATAAAATTGAAACAATAGCTTTCTATTCTATAGTAAGGACTGCTTTGTCTAGAATTAGCTCACAAAAAATTGTCTCATTTTGAGTTAAGTAGATATTTTTAAATTGTTTCTCACAATATTGTAACGACGGTTTTATTCACCTGTAGAGAATCCAATTTTGCGTTCAGTAATAGTATAATCTTAAATTTCACATATTTTGAGTTACGACACTATTGTAAAAGCAGTGTGATATATTGGTCGTGTTTCATTATTTTACTTAGTCATAGAAAAAGTATTATATGCAATCATTGCAAAATGAGGTCTTCAAATCTCGTACCTATGGCCTCCTATTAGCCTCGTGGCCTAAACACGATACTCGACTTTAAGAACCCTCATTATGTAACTTATTGTATAAAATACTATTTCTTTTCCCGTATAAATTGAACGCATCGACACTTCAATAAGATATCTTATAAAGGTGATAATATGGTAACGGTGATATAGTAAACAGCACCTTTTGGTGAAGTTACACATGAGACCTGTCAGATTATGCCTTAGAGCACTTTCAAGTTAGACGTGCTGCAGTGGCGCAGTCTATAGCGCTTCAGCAATTTTTAGTTCACTAATTGTGACCGCAAAAAAGACGGGCGCGTATCACGACAGTAACTACGCTTCCAAATATTTTAAGAAAAATAGTACACAGTGACGCCACTGTATCGCTTCTATAAGACTGATTTCACAGCTGTGCGTACTGTCAGCCTGCTCTAAATCTAAAACCGATCTAAATCGAGTATTTAATTTATTGTGGATATTCACGGAAGACAGTCGCCTACAACGAACGCACGGGTGGTCAGCGCGGAGTTCACGCGAAGCGTGTTCCGTACGGAGCAATCTACGTCACTGTAAAACGATGTTCTAAAGCTAAACCTGTCACTCCGCTTCGGCACTCCGTGCAGACAGTCTGCAGATAATTCCGCACTGCTCTGGAACCAGCCTACCTAAGGAGCACACTTTATAAGCCTTAAAACTGTTATATCTATAAATAGTCTTAATATGGTATAGATTTAGATAGTAGTTCTCTTTAAATGGTTTTAGAAAAAAGACTTTTTTCTTATAGATTTATTTCACTCAAGTCAAAATTTTAACACCTTCTTAATACCAAACAACTTAATTAAGTGTAATCTCTCTTAAGATTTACTCTTATAGTCCTTATTTTAAGTTCATCTATAGAACAACTGATTATTTTTAGTAAAATTGTTCTATACACATCCAGTAAAGTCTATTAATACTCTAAAAACTAGTGTTCTTAAGTTTATTCTAGATATATTTAATTTATAGACATTCTGTAGTGTTTGTAGTTATTGACAAACACGTTGTAGTGCGTCTTCAGTAGATTTAGAACTCTTAAAATATTCAATCCAATTAAATTTTATTAGATATCTTATAGTATATATTTAGATATGGGTGTGCTGCTTGGGTAAGCCTCTAGTTTGAAGGCTTATGGTAACGGGTAAAGTAGCAGTGCCCTACAGATCTTTGCGATTTAAAGCTCTAAGTAGTACACAACTCTTTGTTCTCCAAAGTTTACTACGACAACACACTGCCCCTCCCAGTATATACTTTCCTTTGCAATACGGTAGACGTGTGAATGCCATTCCCCGAAAAGTTAACTGTAAAACTTCTTTCAGCCAAAAGTTCTTTTACTTTTTGGGACGATTCTTATACAACAAAAGACATCATCTAAAAAATAAATATGAGTGTAAGAATATGATAACTAAATGGCTTCTAAAACTGTCATATGAAGAAACAGAATATCTTCGTCATGCTGCTCAATTATGATGAAATCTTCACAAACACGCACGCACGCACGCACGCACGCACGGACGCACGCACGCACGCACGCACGCACGCACGCACGCACACACTTTCAGTGGGAGAATGACTTATTTATAAAAAATATATAATTTAGATTAATTTTACTTATTTGCTGTCTCCACAAATTACTACTAGTTCTTATTACTATTTTTGCATAATGTATAAATAAAATAACGTAATACATTGTAAATTTTACTACGCCATTGGAAGGTTTGCTGGTATTTGTAGCGCAGGT